TAAATCCAATTCAGTGTATTAGTAGTAGCAGTAGCAACAATGACTGAGCACAAAGTTATAACAATTAGTGAATTATNGCGCCAATATCCTTGGCAGGAAAAATGACCTCGGATGGAGCGGGGTCGAGCGGGATTATCGCTCTTTACCCACTTCATCGCTGTAGGCCCGGACGCCTCGTAGAGGTAGACCCTTTCCCCGTCATTCCGGGCCGCCAACGCGGCCGGAATAGATCGGATCATGGGGCCTCCTCCTGTCCTGGCTGGGCCCCGCCGGCTAGGGCCCTTTCTTCTGGCGCTCTTCTTTCTTTGCCGGCTCGTCTGTGTATACCCCCGGGGGTGTCGTGTATCAGTCGCAAACGACTCGTCGTTTGCGACCGGGATGGTGGTTTTGGGTGAGGTCGTGCAGCTATGCAGCTTAGGAAGCGCTTTGCTAAGGTGGCCCTTAGGCTAGCGCGGGAGGAGAGAGTGGGATAAGGAAGGTATAGGGGAGAATGTGTGTGTGTCGTCGTTTTCGTCTCTTGATCCTGGCGGTCCTGAAACAGACAGAAAAATTTCGACTCATCCTGCGTCCAGGAGTTGATGTTCGGGTCGGTAGTCCACCGCGTTCCGGATCAGCGGGTTGCTGTGGATCTCGGCGCGCTCTAAAAGCTTTGTGGCGCGCTCTCTGATCGCTTCCAGGGCTGAGGTGAATCCCAGATCCCGGCGAATATCGCTGTTGAGGAAGAACCAAGGGGCCCCCGTCGCGCAACGGACGGCGATATTCTCGACGGCTTGCACCCGGACTAGGTGCGTCTTTGCTGCGTGTCTCCACGCGGTTCCAGCGTACGTCAACTGTGGCTGCAGTACTGCTCTAATGAGGGTTAGCTTGTTCCGCAGGCAGAGGCGGCTGTCCCTGCACAGAAGCGGGTAAAGCTTTGCCCTCACCATCTTCGCTTTGCGCGTCACAGCATCGACGTGCGGCTTCCACGTCAGCGTGCAATCCAGGGTTACCCCTAGGTACTTGACGGTGGTTGCCCACTGGATGTCTTCTCCGTTGAACTTCACGTGTCCCTGGGGGCGCGTTTGGTACCTACGAGAAAACATAATACCTGTGCTTTTCTCCGGGTTGATCGCCACCTTCCACCTGTTGCACCAGTCCTCTAGTTGGCTTACAGCTCTTTGGAGGTACCTCTTCGCCATATCGGGGTTCAGGGAACGGGCCGTTATGGCGGTGTCATCGGCGTAGAGGCACACGGTAGTGCGCTCTGTCCTGGGCATGTCGGATGTATAGATGTTGAACAG